TGTTAGGTATAACATTGATACCAAATATGGTTTGGGTGAATAAATATATAAAACTTAGATATCATGGTTTAAGTGCTTATCACTTTAAGCACAATGCAGCAGGCAATTAGCCGATTAAGGGTGCGGTTAGAAGTTACAATATAAGGAAGCATTAGAAGCTGGAAAGCTTACTGTTGCTGACTGTAACTGTGTCTGTCTGTAACTGTAACTGTGTGCTGCTGCGACTAACTGTGATTACTGACTGTGAGTGCCTGTGACTGAACTGTTATTGTTTGCTACTGTTTGCTGAATATCCAGCGTTTGTTTCTCTGGAGAGTGAAACCGGAGGAGGAGAAGATATCTTTATCGGCTGATAAAGATATTGCAAGGACTCTTAACTTGGACTATACTAGTGAGTCTTACTGGATGGAAATACTGTGAATGACTTAATGGACTGAATGACAATGCTTAAACTCTAAATGGATTAAAAACTATTTAAACTACAAACAGTGTTTGTGTTCAGTGTGTGTATACTCTGGGGCCCTTCCGCTCTCCTTTGGCTGCCTGGCTTGACTACTGCTGCAATACTCTGCTAGGGGTTAATTCCCAAACCCTAACACTGTGCTATTTGAGCAAATTTGATATGATGGTCATTTTGAAGGACACTCGCTATTGTCATACCCCTTCTCCATTTCAGGATTTGTGAATGGGTGAAAAAACCCCAAAGTGTTAGAAATTGTTTTGTAACCTTTTCTACACTGTTTAGCATCTATAATTAAGCACAGAAGTTCAAAATGTTATTGTGAGCAGGGTATGACAGGCTCCTATGAGAAGCCTGGTAAGAACTTGACTGTGATAAGGGGACCTAGCATTAGTGGCAAAGATATGCAAAAATTCAGAAAATCTAAAAGAGGCTAAATACTGTATTATAGAAGTGTAATATGCGTATCAACATGATGTTCACTTACCTTAAAAAGTGAGTGAGAGAAGTGAGGAACCTTATCCAACGTTTGTTTGAAGAAAGAAAGTAACATTTCTTAGATTTTCAGCAATTTATTTGGATCTTTATGTTTTTAGCAAATCTTATATTTCAAAGAATTCAGAAGAGTTCAAGAATTCACAGAAGCTAATGAGGATCTTAGCAAGCTCCCTGTCTGTACAGTACATAGTTAATATAGTCTGAAACATTAGTAGGCAAGTTAGACACAAAAAAGGAATTAGTTATGTCTGAAAATAAGTGAAAAAAGTACTACCTGGGAGAAGCTAAAAGCACCGTTCCTTTAAATATAAATTGTCTTAAAATAAGATATGATTAATTATTCATAAAAGCATTTTATATACATACACACAATCTCTCAGAAATAGATCACATAACTAAGAACAATGAAGACCATATTGTTGGCTTTAGTTTTATTTGGAAAAAAAGTAAACATATTAAATTAAGCATTGTCATATTCAGAATTGCTTAAACTTCTTTGGTTAGTTCTTTTGAATAATAAACCAGTCATTCTTCTGAATGATATTTTGTTGCTTTTTCCCATAATGCAAACTTCCATATATTTGATATTATAATTTTTCATGATTAGCCTTGAGGTAGGATTATCCCAACTTGCTTTGAGGTTTTACAAGGAGACCAATAGTCAAAATTCAATGCCTAAATCTCATATGTGTGTTTGTGGGCTTTTCTTTTCCATCACAGCAAGAAATCAAATAGATGTAATTTGGGAAATGTTATAGAATTTTGCTGCAAAATCATTTTGCAAATAGAAACTTTAATGATAGCTTCCTGTTCCAGATTAGAATGCTTAAAAATAAAACACCATAGCCACCATAACCATAGCATAAATGAAGCTCTAATATCTATAGAAATTTAATATTTTACACCAGTTTATAAGCATTTCATCCTCTTATCCTTTAGTCTTTTTCTGCCTTGCTTTTCCTTTTCTTAAATAAACAAAGAAAATGTTTCAGAATTCATATTCAATTTTGAATGGCTTTTTTCCAGAGAAAATGAATCTTTAGAAACCAGACTTGGTGATGGGCAAATTTCAGCTGTTTAGCAGTTGCATATTTGATTTCAAGCCCAAACCTTATTTGAACTCTCTGAATCTTCTTCTAAAACAAGGTTTGCTCTTAGTCAGCTTTTTGTAGCAATATGATTTATTTCAACTGTGGGTGTATCTATCATAAAACTTACTGTGTATATATACTAGTTTTTGATTGATAAAAATATATCTAATATCCAAGTGATTGTACTTACAACTCCAAAAACTATATACTTCCTTGGGACTGAAAGGCTTGAACTCATCCCAAAATTCATTTCAGTCATCTCTGTAGGAATCATCTGCATAGAATTGACTAGATAGAGTCCAGCTCAG